GGGCAAATCTTCGAGCTGGGCGAGGGCGTGACAACGGACCATGCCGGCCATCCCATCGCTGTTGGAGACGTTGTCTACTGGAACCCAATCAGACCTTGCAATGCCTGCTACGACTGTACCATCAGCGAAGACTTTACGGCTTGCACCAATGGCACGTTCTGGTCGCCTGCGAACCGGGCCGAGGTATGGGCAAGCTATACGGAGCTCGCTACGTTGCTGCCCAACAATTCATTCTACCGCATTGATTCAAACGTCCCTCTGGACGCCTTCATTGCATTAGGTTGCGCCCTCCCCACCATCCTGCAGGCTTTAGACCACCTGGGCGGGATACCCTCAGGGAGCACGGTGCTTGTGCAGGGGGCCGGGCCTGTTGGTCTGGCTGCCATTATGATGGCCAAGTTAGCCAAAGCCAGAGACATTATCTGTATCGAGGGCGTCGAGTCGAGGCTCCAGCGAGCCCAAGAATTTGGGGCTACACTGTTGGTAGACTTCCGGAAACCGGAGCTTTCCTCGCGGCAAGCCCGCCAAAGCTTCATCAACAGCTCCATAGGCCCCAGGGGGGTCGGCATAGCCATTGAATGCAGTGGGAATGCAGCCGCCTTTGAGGAGGGGATTTCGCTTCTGGGCCGGTCCGGCAAGTATCTCCTTGTCGGCACATGGGCGGGGAACAGCACTGTCCCTTTCTGCCCCTTTGACGTGGTGCAAAAGGCCCTCACAGTAGTAGGTTCGACTTTTGCGTCCCCAAAGCATTACTACCGTGCTGCCAGACTTGTAGAAACCAACCATGAGGTGTTCCCATTGGCTCAATGCGTAACCCACAAGTATACCCTTGATGAGACAACAGAGGCCCTGAGAGCGGTTCATGCTGGGGAGGTTGTCAAGGCTGTCGTGATACCTTAAGTATAACACAAGCAATTGATTATTCTCATAAACACTAAAGTACATATTTAGCAGCATATAATGAGGTATTATAAGAAAAATGAGATTCAACCAGAATTTCCTACAGAAACTGGGGCGGTAATTGTTGCCTTCACGTGAAGTCGGTGGTAATGAAAAGCTTGATCCTCCAAACGTGGCATCCACAATTGCGAGCTATTCGAAGGTTAATCAACTTAATAATTATCCCGGTTCGTGGTAAGATTCAAAAGTGTCCTCATTGAGTATTAATCCCGGTACTGACAGATCTGTTCATATACTAAAATTAGTCAATTACACCTCCGTTCCCAACCGAGCATGGAATCAGCTGATTTTGTCCAGATTTTTCTGTTCTATTAGTATAACATCCGCTCCCTCCCGAGCATCCGATGCTGCCACCTCCTGCACAGAAAGTTTCTCATTCTGGCCTAAAAGAAGTATGGCTGCCACATGGGATCCAGCAAACCTATTTCAAATCAGCTACGAGATCGACAATGACTTCACACTAATCTCCTGCGTGGGCGAGGACGACACCAGGCTCAACCGTCCGCGGTGTAGATACTCGGTCCCCGAGATCTGGTATCCAGAAATTCGGTCTCAGCTTGCCAGATTCTCTACCCAAGACCCAAGATGTATAACAGCTCAGGAATTGATTGATCTCGCAAGGATTTGTCTTTGTGAGGAAACCCACCAGGACCAGGCGGAGCTCGTTGCGCAGCGTTGGCTTGACGTGGTTGCCACCGCGGCTGATCATCATGACCAGCTGCTTAGGAAGAACAAGGAGCAAGCATCAATTACTGCACATCTCAGTCAATTAGCACCTAACGGTGCAGAAGAGCAGCTAAGGGAGCATAAAATCAAGTACACGTCTGTACTTCTTGAGAACTATGAACAGCGCCGACAAATAGAAGAATTGGAGACGGAGCTATCAACAACCAGCACTTCATTGGAGACTGTGAAGCAGGAAAATCAGGACCTCAGAGCTGAGGTGGAAGAAGCCTCCAAGAGGAAAGCATATACATCCAAATACAATGACATGCTTCGGAAGCAGCTGGAAGCCGCCACAAAGCGAGCGCAAGGCTTGGATGCCAAAGTATCTTATATCGAAGGGGTGCACGGCAGTACCAAGTCCCAGGCGGACATGCTCCAGGAAGAGAACTCTTCTTTGAAAGCCGAAATACAACGCCTCAAACAAAAAGAAGGTGTTCTGTCAGAAAAACACGAGCAAGCCCTCTCTGAGCTCCAGGCACAACGAGCTACGAATACAGCGCTTGCCAACCAAGTCCAGTACTTGAAAAATGCAGAACGAGTTCTACGAGAAAGCATCTCTGCTTGTTGGTTTCATAATATTTACACGTGGGTTCTTCAGATTTTTGGTTTTTCAAGTCCCGTCTTCTCTAAAACACAGAGCGAGGAGAAGGCACAGCTCTGGGTGTGATTCCCGCGATGTAATGTTTCCTTCTAGTTTTCTCTCTTCATCAGACTCTTAAACTCACACTCTGTAAAATTCGTTCAGCTTGTTCCATGCATATTCATGAGGATTTATAATTTGTTACCATCGGGTGGCCAGGATAGACCAAAAACAGAAACATAGAGCACACAGTAAGGGATTCACTTTTCTGCCATGAATTTCGATCAAGTTTAACATCATGTACTCTTTGAACATTCAATACATTAACTGTAAGTAGAAAGCCAGGGAAGTCCATCTAGCAACATAGTTCATACTTGTGTCAAGAATAGCAAGCGTGGAGAAACCTAAGTGGCCCTGCGGGATTGTTATTGTAGAAGACTCATGTCTCACATGCTGGACTTGCCACAAAGGCTCACATGCAAAGATGATTCATCGACTACTACCGAGATTCATTTCGCTTGCTCTCCAAAAGCAAGTTAGCAGCAATCAGCCAACCTTGGCTCTTGACGACTGCCGAGTGGGGGAAGCAGAGTCGACCGCTAGCGTGGAAAGATATTCATCAATGCACCCCTTACACTCAGGCCACGTTCCCTCTTGCCTCCTCTTTTACAAGTCAGGCACCTCTACATCTCCCCGGTTGCCCCCTGATTACGACTCATACCTTCATCCCGGTTGTCCATATCTCATAGTACTCCTCTTCCCCCGCTTCACATGGGTCAACACCTACCCCAAATCAATGTAAAGTGAATCGTTGAGCCCCCTTGTGCAAAATCCGGGGCTTTATTGATAAAGCCCCGGATTTTCCCTTCTATAATTTCTCTTTCAACCCCCATTAGCCCATCATCGTCATATCACCGTATGTGTTATCTCCGGGACGTCGTAGGATTCTAGCATGCTACAAAACAGAAAGGACCTTTGGTGCTCATCACCTCGTGTATGCACTGCTCGGCCTACGTGGCAGTACATGCTCTCCTACGCTTATCAGCGGCTAGAGAGACGGGGCAGGGAAAAGCTGGAAATAACCCAAATTTGGCAAGGAATATTGCTAGAGTTTGAGCAAATCCTCGGCGAGCTAGAGCACCGGCTAGTGATGATAAATCGTTCTGTCATGTCAGCACCCAATCGGATGGCAGGAGGATGCTTTCCAATCGATGCATAAGCTCAGCGAAAAAAAGTCATGTTCATCTCCTGAGAAAGATAAAACCTCATTCATGGGGTAGGTAATAGGATATTTTTGATGAAATTCGTGTATATCCGGGACTACCAAAGATAGCAGTTGTAGGGCTGCATTTCTATGCCAGCCATTTGCTATAGCGGAATGGCTTGGCACATGGCGTAACTACAATGTGATGTCTAGAGCCACGTCAGACAGTAATCAAAAGAAAACATGGTGAAAATAGGACATTGCCTTTTTTCTGCTTGTGAAAATCAATGTTGAAAACCAAATATAACTGTTTGCCTATTTGTTGCATGGTGGCCCCCCTCAGCTCGAAAATCCTTCGGGCAGCAAAACAATTCCAAATACTTATAGATTCACCGTCTCTCTAAATTAAAACTCAGACTCTTCCTTCTTGGGCAAGACCTGTCACTGTGTAGACCGCAATGCCAAGGCTAAGGAGTAAACTTGCATCGGAGGACTCCATCCGTGCCCGTGGGAGACTAGGTGAGTCCCCGATATACACACACCGCAAGCCACGCCCCAGGATGTTCCCAGGAAGTTGTTGCACGGCTTCGGGTACCGGCAGGACGCTGAACTGATATGACGTTATTGCAGTTGCCAGGTAAAATTTCAGGGTCCAGGCCAGGCCAAAATGCAGGGCCCGGGTGTGGCTATAGAACTAATCCCCCTTTTTTTTCGTTCATTTGCCATTGAAGCGAGTTACATTGCCAAGTCCAGGAACCTTTGAAACTTCCCAGGCGGTCAAACTTAAACCCTCATACATGGACCTTGGTTGTGAAAATCTTTCGCCCAAGCTAAGAGGGGTAGTCCAGGCTCGTCGTAATTCTCATATACAACCTGGTGGTCCAGGCCCATCAATGACTTGGCAAATGGGATCGGCATACAAGAGGGATAGTATTCCATGGAAGCTTGGATCATTTTCCCGTTAACTCCTGGGACATTGATCGAAGTCCCCAAAAGGGGCACAAACTAAGTACTTACATCTCAATACATTCAGGAATGAGCATCACCGCCTTGCACATATAATACAAGCTGTAGAAAATGAATCAATGGCAGAAACAAATTATCATTGAGATAAATTAAAGAGAGAAAAGTATAAAATAAGAGGGGTGGATTCACTCTCAGATGCGTTTCGAGACAAATTTAGTTACGATAGGGTTGAAAATCCCATTAGCCATGCACGTTAGGGTGATTAATTCAATGTAGATTAATCGTATTCCGCTTTATGGACTATGAACAAAGAAAATTAAATGAAAAGAAAGGAATATGCTCAAGAATATCCGCTCCATTCAAGCAACATGAATGCTGGAAATCAAATCAAGAGATAATCATATCCCCAGCCGACCCTTTCCAACCCCAACCTTTTACTCATCGCATCTTTTAAACTCATATACTCATTAAGCAATTGCTTGACAGAAGAGATCGTGGGAGACACCACCTCCCTATCACCGTCTACTAGGAACGTTGTCTATAGATTCAGCTTGCCTGATATGATCAGAGATTATCTGAGCCGTCAGCGAGGCTTCGGTGGATGGCGTCGAGGATGTCCTGCTCCGAAAACACAGGGCCGTGGCCATCACATGATGCGCGCTGTTGCAGATACCGACTCACGCCCGTGATATCGATGAGACCACGCTTGAACAAACTATGTGCGACAATATAATCCCAAGCGGCACCAGCAGAATATAAATTCTGGCCTGCGGACTCTGTGGCCCGGTGGGGGCTAGATTTGTCCTTGTGTCCTGATACGACGCTTCTGGGCGAGGAACTCTGGCTGAAATTCATGGGCGGACCGGTAATGAGCGCGTCGGCGGAGCTATTCACACTCTGTCGCCTGCTACTTGTCGCTTTGAGGATCTGGTTCTCCCTCGTCATTCTCTCGAGGTCTATGCGCAGCTTCTCGTTCTCCTCCGACGCCTTCTCTTGCGAATTCTTGAGGCGCTCGAGCGACGCTTCCAGATCTTTAACGTGTTTCTCCTTCCTCTCTCTGAATGCACGCTGGCTGCAAATGGAATGTTAGTGATGGAATTTTACAAAAGAAAAGACATGCGATTCCACATACGCCGCTCGGTTCTGGGCCTTCCTCTTGGTCTGCGCATCCTCGTCGCTAGTCCATCGCCCGTAATTCTGCTCGTCTGACTCTGATCTGCGTCCCAGACCCATCATATCGCCCATCGCTGGCAGGTTGCCATCTATATACATTCCATTCCTAGGACCCATGGATACAGGCATGGATGGCGCGACAGTGCCAATAGAGGGGAAAGCGCCAGCCTGGCCGTAGTGATACGCAGCGAAATTCTCGTCCACGCTGTCATAGAGCTCCTATGGAGAAGAGGTCAGTTACTTATTCCTAGCATCCCACCCGTACTCGAGCACAAGTTACTGACTGTTGCGGCATCCAGCCCGAGCATTTCGGGCGATTTGGGTGAGAGAGGGCTTGGGGAATTCATTGAGGATTCATTATAGTCCTCCGAAGTCGTGGATTGAGTCGCTGTGGTCGGCATCGATGTCGGCGCCGACATGTATGAATCCTGGTGGGCGCTCGGCCCGCCAGGAAAGGGATACTGGTTGGAAAAATACATGATGGTGATGGTATGGCTTGTTCGATTGGTGTTCAGCGACCTCGTGATGTTGTGCCCTCCACTTCGAAGGTTGATCTTCTTGATCTAGCGACTTTAACCAAAGACTAGTGAGACCAGTTGATCAGAAGAGTGTCGATTGATGCTCTGGGAAAGGACGATTAGCAAGTTGGTCCAAGAGGTCGATATTTATGAATACGATGTGAGGATGAGGAGGGTTTGAAGGCGGCCGCCAAACCTCATCTCCATCTGCCCTTACCAATTCATCCATAACGTGTCTAAGACGGTGGAGTACATGATGAACTCCCGGAGAGCGAGGAGGAGGTTAGCGGCGAGCCCTGGTCAAATCTGTTAGCCGTCTCGTGCTGAGCCCTGCATCTGTTCCCTTGCTGCATGTGCGCTTACTGCTATCTAGACCCCCACATCCCTTGTTCCAGGGTCTTGTCCGCGGCCCCTCAGAGGCTGCACTATTCTCAATTCAACTCAGCCTTGAGGGGAATTCGGCCCTTTTATCCCATGGGCACTCCAGAGAAGCTCTTACTGTCCTGAAACGGGCGTGCTGGGAGGCCAGTTAGGAAGGAAAGACACCTCTGCAGGTTGGTGATGCGAACAAGCACAATGCCTGGACCAAGAAGGCGGCCTGCTCGATCGGTACCACTCTACCGGGGACGACACACGGGCGATCGATCTTGAAACAGCAACGGATGGCGGGTAATGGCGCTGGCATTGTGCGTCCCACAAGCAAGGAGCTTCTCAGCCGCACCTTTCCCATCACCAATTGAGCAATGAACAGATAAATGATTTTCCAGATCTGGGGTTCCCTCGGTCGGCATTCCCGTCTGCAAATGCATCATCGACTGCGGGATGACCTCCACTGCATCGATGTGCTGTCCCGCTCAACAACTTTGGGTTGCAAGCTCCGTTCTCGCAGGGGAGGGGTTTGATTCCCAACGGCTCTCGTTAGGGTTAAACCACCGCCATTTCGGCAGTGGAAAGGTGCCCGAAGTGCCCGAATGGAGCAGGGTAAACAGGGTGGTCTAAGAGTGTGGGATCAGCACTGATCGATCTCCCAACGGTCCCTCACGACCCGTTATCCCACTTTATCCCGGACAAAACCGCGGCGGTGGGATGGACAATCGTTTGTGCTTGCTTCTCGTTTCCAAGTGCCTCGGCTTCCGAACGAAGATGCGGCAGTGCAGCAACGTCATCCTAACGAAGCCGTCTTGAAGCGCTCAACGGACTTCACCGCGCAATCAGCTGGCTACCGACCCATTAGAACTGAATTTCCTCAAACAGAAAATCATCTAGATTGTCTTTTTTTCTTCCAGCACACGAAGCTCGGCAGCTAAGCAACATTTGAGCCATCACGCATGGACCATCGATAGCTTCAAGAGCTATCTCCCCACCACTTGTTACGTAGAGCTCTCTCAATTCACCACCTATGGCAATAAGACATGCGGAATTTGCCGAGATGGCTCTCCGCGGCCGCCCTAAAATGATTTTCAGCCAGTGGGGAAGTCATCCGGGCGCCGTTTGTGAACTTGCCACAGTAGCTCAGTCACGTTTTGGACCGTTTCACGCTGGACCTTGACTTGATTCGCGCGGGACAACCTACCTGTAGAGCATGATCCAATGCTTCTTTGAACTGTAGCCACAACCCCTCTTATTTGGGTTTTTCCCAGCCCCTAGCTTAAGTTTTTTGCCTATGAGTTTAGGGTCCTCAGATAGGGGCGTATCAGGACGTTAGATCTCGGCCACATGGGAGCTAAAACGACTTGTCACTATTTGTGTTTAGGTGTGGCAACAGGGTGCCTGCACAGATTCACGAGTTCCAACACCAACTCGAGCCGATAACCGGGAGTAGTGGTTCCAAGATTGCCCAACTTCACTGATCAAGACGCCAGCCCTACCCATGGACAACGCGGGGTTCGTGCGGACTTGAGAGGGTCCTTCATAGAACCTTTTATCTAGATCACCAATGGCGGTAGCGGCAAGAAGTGTGGGAAAGGACTCTTCCCGCTTCTAGCCTCTTGTCTCTCTCCCCAGGAGGTCATATGCACATGAGCATGTAGGGTCCCTTGTCATTAAGATGCTGGCCAGACCACCGGGAGGAAGGAGCTTGACCGTGGCACAGATTGCAGGGCCTCGTGCATGCTTGTTGACGTCCCAGGCTCGGCATTTGGCGAAGCGCTGCCATTGATAGGACATCAACGGTTCCACTACACCCTACAGCCCACAGATATCCATTGATCTTCTTCAAGGTCATAGCTGTCGCAAGTCCCTGCATAATATATGTTGTACATACGGTCTGGTTGTATCTGCTGCCAAGAAGCCGGCACAGTAGCTCCATTCTCGTGATGACTTCATTTCATCTCGTCCACTCTCAAGATTTGGAGTGCCTTGGGTGGCTCATGAAACTTCAATAAACAATCATAGTAATAATTGTCGCTATTGAAAGATTCAAACCGCTCTTCTTGGTCATTATCAACCCACAGCATCTGTATGGCATGGGAGGAATGCATCCTGTCAAGAGACCTAATAAACGCGAGCGTCAGTAGACATGAAACGCATAGCTTGAAGATGCAGAAGCCATTCCTGTCAGGGCAGTGGCATGACTCGTCCATAATTAAGCGTTCAGTTGCGAGCGATCTAATCTATTAGCTGGAAACCTTGGAGTTTCCCAAAGGCAGTAGGCCACAAAGTGTGAAAGGGATGCCCGTTTCACGAGCTAGCTGGAGGATAGAAGCCCAGATCCCGTTCCGTTCCCTCAGCCGTGGTCTTACTCCGCTAAACTGCAGTCACTTGAGGGGCAGTCGGGAGTCCACGTCAATAGTCAGTACAGCACTGTGGGCTTGATGGCGACAGATGGAGGCGTGCTAAGGCAGGCTCTCATGAATGCCCTGCTCGGTTTTACACGGAATTAGATTGGGGCAAATGGGAGATGGGTCCATTACAAGCCTACAGGTAGAATGCGTTGGAAAACGGCGTTCGGTAACGGGAATCTCCAGAGACCGGGGCTGAACAAAGGCTGGGAGTGGCTCGCTAAAAAAAAAAGTGGTGGCCGGAGCTATTGTCCCTGGCACGTTATTCATTTCTCAACACTACGTAATCTGCAGGGCATTTCGCTAATGCAGGCCAAGACGTGTAGGGGCATGTGCCGAGGCTTTGACGATGTTTTCAACTTGGTTTCGACTGCGCCCACATCAAAAGAGGAAAACAATCTGATCAACTGGCCCTCAATCTCAAATGTCCCGGATATTCCAAAGACCCCGTTCGACGTGTTGGGAAAATGAATGAGCGGCCGACAGTAAACATGCAGCGGATAGCCTATGTACTAGGGACGATGGACTGGGGACAGTGACATTCCAACTTTCAGCTATCGAATCTTCGTTGCCCCATCATACACGCATGATCCTTTGTGGCATAATAAATAATAACTTCTCTACTGTACTATCCACAAGATGTTTTCTCATACGGAAAATGAGATTTATATGCCTATTAATAAACAGCCGAGGTCAAAGTCAGAATTCTTACAACGAAAATCTGTTCACGCAGGCAGTGAATGGAGGTTGTAACATTTTGGCATACATGATGAAATCCAAAGCATCTCGTCATCAATTACTATCTTCCTCAGCAGATACACGCTGTAAGTAGGTTGCATCGATTATTCATTACATGCCGCTCCTGAGAGCAACCCTCCTCTTCTAGGGCGCAGGAGTGGGCTGCAAACAATGACTATTAGAGAAACTAAACTGAATTTCTTTTCTGTCATGACGCCTCTCTCTGCCTTTTAGAGATCCATTAAAGAAATAGATCCAACAAGGAAACGTGTGTATATCAGCTAGTTAAAATTTTGGCTGCAAACATACTTACCAAAGTGTTTACCAAGCTCCAACAATCAATGACTTCCGCAGAGAGAAACTGTGAGTGAACCAATGACGAACTCATAAACATATCTAATTGACCGTTCTGTCATATAGACAGTTCAATGGAGTCTAATCACATGCCTTACCCAGACACCTGTATACTTACATTTCTTTGCCTCCCACGATGACAACCCAGGCAGTTGCATAGAAGAATCTCATTCTAAATATCTTAGTAAATTAGATTTAGATAACTATTTCTAGTGTCCCGAACCAGCAGCTGCCCAGAAGCACGTTATCCGTGAGAGTTGGCTGTATCAAGGACGCCACGTGGGATTGTTACCCAAGCCCATGTATGGACAAGTTTGAAGTCACAACAACTTGGTTGACTTCGCGCATGGTTATTCTTCCTTCGTCCTACGAATACAGGAAAACCAAAATTAAAGAAACAGGAAAAAAAGTAAGTATACGTGGCCAGTTGGACACAATTGCTCAAAGAATTCAAAGCCGAAAGTGCAAAAAGTAAAGCTCGACGTGGGCCTGATTCGAACAGACGCTCCCGAAGGAACAAGATTTCTAGTCTTGCGCATTAGACCACTCTGCCACCACGCCTGGTGCTTGTTAGTTGATTCGCAATTACGTTACATGAGACACAAGCTCCAAATCACAGACTTGACAGGGACAAATTTGCTGGCCTGGGTGCCACCAGTCGAACAAACCTCAGTTACACAAAGAGCAAAAGGACGCCTAGTTATCAAGGAATGGCCCTATTATATTATATCTATGTATCGGCCTAGATGTCGCTCAAACGCAATGCCAATTAAACAATACGCAAACATGATTCTCCCCTCATTACGGTTGTAGTTTCAAGCCCAAGCCCGTATCTGCATCCCCATCCCTCTCTCTGTACACACGGCTGGGAGAGACCGTGTTCCCCGGCAGCTCGACAATGTGATCCTGCGTCGCAAGCTCCTGTGCCGGCTGCTGCTGATACCACGCACCCATGTGTCCCCTCTCCCCGGAGGACAGCTCGCTCGGCGCCTGGCCGTACGACTGGTGCGTCCGCCCGCCCTCGCTGTACAGTGTCGTCCTCCATTGGTCTTGCATCGTGGACATGGGCGGCGACGGGGAGGTCAGATAATTCTGTACGGGGTCGTATGGCTCCGAGGGCTGGTACGGCGACAGGTGCGGTGAGACGACCTTCTGGTAAGAGGGAGAACCCAGATGATGCGGCCGCCCGTCGTAGGAAGACGCAGGCTGCGACGGGCCCATGAGACCCATCGCCGTGCTCGAGTACCGTCCACCACCGTCGTTGTTATTGTCTCGGCGCCGCTTCCAGAACCAGAGCAGGGCCGCGATCAGGGCGACACCGGCGATGACGCCGATGGCGATCCCGACCTTTGCGCCCGTGGACAGCCCATTCCCGGCGTCCGCCCCCTCGGGGAGGAAGTTCTTCTGGTTCTCGCGCTTGTCGCTCAGCCGGGCGGCGTAGAGCTTGTCGGCCGGGCACCCGTTGAGCGCGCAAGGGTTGTCGGAGCAGCAGCCCATGAAGGGGACATCGATGGCGGCGCACGCCCACCACTGGACGCTGGGGTCGGTGCTCACGCAGTCCTGGGCCGCGATGCTGTTGTACGAGTACTTGTCGAAGGTGGAGTTGCGGAGGTTCTTGTCGGGGCAGAGGCCGTCGCTCGTCTTGCACGGGTCGAGGTCGCAGCAGCCGACGAACTTGACGTCCTTTTGGTCGCAGACGTAGAACGAGCCGCCCTGCTTGCAGTCGGCGCCCAGCACCTTGATGGGATTCGTCGCGGGGCCAACCATCTTCTCGGCCGGGGTTGGGGTAGGGCTGGTGTTGGAATGTCAGCAGCGGCAGTTGATTGATGTGGTCTGGTTCCGTGGTTGCTGTTGCGGTTCGCTCTCCTCGTCGTCATCTATCGTGACACATGTCAAACGTACGTTTGCAGAGCAACGGTCGGCGGGAAAATTCGTTCTGCGAGGAACAGGATCCTCCAAGGGGAGGAGGCTGGCTGGCTGGGAGGGATCATAAGCGATCGACTGCATATCAAGCCGGGACAAGACGCCACCAGCGGCCAGCCAGCCCCAAAAGCTTGGCCTGCCTACTGGGACACAACTCTGTACAAGGGTATTTACATAAATCTGACGCGGGCTAGTAGTGTAGTGTTGATTGGTTCCAGGCCGAGGGGAGGTGAGCAAATAATCAAGCCTGGCTGATGGCGCTCTCAGCTGCAGTGGAGCTGGGCTGATCCTACGTTGGCAGAATACGACCCAATTCAATTCCTGTCAGGAGCTCACATCGACGATGGAATCAATCCTCGAGGCCACATTTGGGCGCGGCGAATGGGCCAGCAGGCGGTACCATCCAGGGCAAATTTTCCCCATGGCTACCCGAGTTCGCTACGGTTATGTACCGCCAAAACGGCAAACGGGGGCCAGAGGTTATTAGGACACTAGCAGCCCCAGCAGCAACCCCATGGCATGGGGACAGGGCTGGGCCCTTCTTATGCTGACTCTGGGCTCAGTGCATGCATAACCAGTGAGGAAACGGGATCAAGGTGAGGTGGCTCAGGTGCGGGGTTTGCGCTGGCACCATCTCAGAGGAGCAGGGCGAGGAAAAGCTACTTCCAACCACCCTCTTGTGTGGCCACAGGCGTCATTAGCGGCGCAGTAAGATGCTACCCATCGGATACGAATCTTGTCATTTCTTGCGAGGTGAAATGTGGCTAGAGCCAATAGCTTGCGCTAGATGGGTTGGTTGTGTTGAGAAGACGAGGTTACCCTAAACCCAACATGATCATCTTCAATTGACAGTCTGCCAATTTTAAATCGCGTAGCATAGATTAATTAGGTGACAAATATTCATTTAAAGTCGTGTATATCATCGCCGAATTCTGATATGAGTTTTAAATCCCGTACAAGAGAAGGGGATGAATTATCTTGGTATTTTTGATTGCTGGGAATCATGAGTAGGAATTATCAATCTCACCTACCCAAAACCAGTTCTGGCGGGGAAAGTTTATCAATTACCCGTTGAAAACTCAAACCTTGCTGACGCGCTCACTAAAGTCTGACTGAGAAAAAAGGCAATAGATCACCACGCATTACGCTTGATAGATCACGAATAAAAGGGCAAAAAGGAAGACCATGGCAAAAGGATAAACCTGAGGAATGCCCCGTACTGGAATCGAACCAGTGATCTTATCATTACTAGTGATACGCTTTACCACTGAGCCAACGGGGCTTCACATCCTAGGTGGATGGTTGACGTGTCGATTGGTGGAATCCTGTGAAGAACGCTTGCTTGAGGGACGCGTTGAGGATTTGCTCCTACGTAGCACCAAGTGAGCTTCGCGTCAGGTTGACTTCTTCGCGTTGTGGCGTTAGTTATATGGTATTGGGATCCCCCAAAACATGGGGAAAATTAGGCGAAATTCAATGTCCGTAGGTGCTTGGGAAGAGAGGTTGCAATGGAAGGATTACTGTCAGCTTGTGACGCGACTGAACAACACTATAGACACGTCGGTCCTTTGGTTTGGCGTTCTGATAGCCCTCGAGCGCGTGTATCAAACACTCGATGACAGTGCAAAAGTAGACCATGGACCCAAGTCCTTATATTCATTCATCGCACTTGACTAGAATTTCCCTACATCAATGTCAACATGACGTTTGGGCTCCCTGCCTTCACTGCTCGTAACGCGTAACAACCATCCATCACTAGACTTCGTTCAATGAGTCGCTGTATCAGATACAACAGGGACACTTGCTCCCAACCCCTACTTCTCCCCCTTCTTCTCGAGATACGCCTCCAAAGCGTCGGGCGCGGCTGCCTTGATGGCCGACTCAGGCTCCCAGGTGGGTCTTGAAAAGCCAACCCACTCGACCTGGATGAGGCGCTGTCCCTCGGAGTCGGTCTTGACGCCCTTGAGGGCATAGATGGTGAAGAGCCCCTCGTCCTGGGGGTTCACAGGTCGTCCTCCCTGGGCCTTCCAGTACTGGATGAGAGCCCTCTTGGCGTCGCGGTGGATGTTGACCTCAGGCTCCCAGCTGGTCTCGTCGGTGCCCTGCCAGCGGACCTCGAGCAGGATCTTGTCGCCCTCCCACTTGTGGTTGACGATGTCCTCAAAGAGCCACTTCTTCAGGCTCTTGCCGATGCTGACGGGTCCCGTGGTGGCAGGCTTGGTCGCGTCCTTCTTGGCCGCGTTCTTGGCCGCATTGGGCTTCCTGCCCGGCCGGCCGCGACCTGCCGTGTTTTTGCGTGTTTTGGTTGTTTTGGCGGCTGGGACTGAGGACGAGGTGGTGCTGGGCGCCGCCGCAGCAGCCGCCTTGCGCTCTCTGTTTCGGAGTGATTTCCGCACAGGCATGGCGGCGGGATCTTGGTGATTTTTGATTTCTTGCTGTGAAAATGATGAATTCGATGGATGCGACGCGTGTTTTCGATGGCGAGGCTGTGGAGTTTTGCCGCGCGCAGGATGCAGAGAGAGAGATGGAGGAGGGAGGTGAGAAGAGAGGTGAGAAGAGAGTGAGTGGAGGGGAAGGAAGAAACACGGCAACTGGCAGCAGCCAACGCACATTGACACACAGTATGTATTATTATTGTCAGTCGGTCTGTTTTAGTCAGGCTGTGGCAGCACCCTCCACACATGCACCGTCCAGCAGCGAACGCAGCCTGATTCTCACTCGCTGCCTTTCTTTCGTTTCTGTCTCTTCGTTTCTTGATTAGCCGCTGATTCACGTGTGCATCCTCAGATGGCGCGCAGCTTTTATCCCAAGACTGTATCGATATTCGCCTCACCTGCCGCTGGCCGATTAATCAATTGATCGCTCTGGCTGACTTTATCTGTGATGCACGTGCCCTATTGCCTGAGACATTTCTTCTTAGCCCAGTAAATTCATGTCTGGTGTTGATCGTTTTTTGGGCGCAGCCTCTCAACCTGAGGCGCAACTGAGATGACTTTCTGCCCCGCGAAATTGAGAAGCCAATGGATGAGAAAAATCATGATTGAAATGGGAATAAGGGAAATACGCTCATTTCTTCGATATTCCTCTAAAGTTCACCCACTAGAATTAATCGTATGTCAATCTGCTTAGTCGAAGGGTCCTATCGCAGACTGCATAAGCCAACTCGTCTCTGAGAAAAGATATATCTCTGGTTGGACAAATTTCAGGTAATGTGCGTCATGAAACAGCAGTGCGAGAGCCTCAATTGGGATTATTTCCAGAGCCAAGGGTGCACCTCCATGCTTACGGCACCGCACAGGATCGCGATGGATCGGGAACTGGCCGTCGCCGCCAATATATATGTACCTTGCTTTCTGCTAAAGAACTTGCGATTAATTGTTGGTCGTGACCAACGTCTGAGGGCCAAGTTCTCCAGCTGACGCAGGACAGGCAGTAACAAGCCCAATGTCGCGATGTGATTGACAATGAGGGACGGCTCACAACCGATATCGCACGCCATTTATTTCGGGTCGATTTCCGTTTATGTAAATTGCGAATCAGCGATCTACCGAGCTTAATAATTATTAAAATCCACATTGGTGTGTTTGCTGTTTGCTCTGGCCGGGAATATGAAGGGTATTTTCTCCTTCGACAACCATCCGTTTGGCCAAGACGTGTGCAGTAAGCTCTGGCGCGAGACATGTAAAATGTCAATCAGGTCGTCTGAGAAGAGGGTTGATGTCCCGGCGATCGCCTCCGACCGGAAGGATGAGAAGTTCACAACTGATAATGATGGTCTCGGAGCGGCGCCGATTGTCGCAGCGCCGCGAGTCGATGAGTCCGAAGCCAGCGAACACGTCGACGGTGGATTGTTGGCCTGGCTGCAGGTAGCAGGGTGTTGCTTTCTTTACTGGAACAGCTTGTAAGTGCCATATCCGCTCTCTGTTGATATCTTCATGGTCTCACACTCACTCACTCAGGGGGCTCATCAACGCATTCGGCGCTTTCCAGACCTTCTATGAGACCCAGCTGCTCCGAGAGGAGTCAGCCTCAGCAATCTCCTGGATTGGTTCGATACAGATGTTTCTCCTCCTGGCAACTGGACCAATCATCGGCCCCTTGTATGATGCAGGCCATTGCCGACTCTTGCTGTACATCGGCGCGTTCCTCGTCGTCTTCGGCTTCATGATGACCAGTCTCTGCACCGCGTACTGGCAAGTCATCCTTGCTCACGCCATCTGCGTCGGCCTCGGCGCTGGTTTCTTGACCATCCCGGCCATTGCCATCATTCCTCCCTACTTCAAGACCAAGCGTGCCCAGGCGATGACCACGGCCAGCATTGGAAGCTGCCTGGGCGGGACGATATATCCGCTCATTTTCCAAGAGCTGCAGCCTCGCATCGGATTTCCCTGGACTGTCCGCATACTGGGCTTTCTCACGTGTGCCATGTGCTGCTTCTCCTTGGCTGTTCTGCGCCCGCGACACCGTGGCCAGCGTCAATTGCAGAGTCTTCGGTCCCTCGTAGATCGCACCGCCTTCAAGAGCGCACCCTACTGCCTGTACTCGGTCGGAGTTTTCTTCAGCAATCTTGCCTGGTTTGTGCCGGTGTTTTACATCCAGACGTATGCGCTCTCTCATGGATTGGAAGCGCAGCCCGTGGCCTTGTACCTGGTTGCGATCATGAATGCTGAGTCGGGGCCTACTTGTCAGTTCGGCCAGGTTAGATAAATTAGCTATTTTTCCATATCCATAGTAAAAGATATACTTTTCACCCCTTCTTATTTTTTACTTTTAAAAATCCCTTCTTATAAAAGATATATCTTTTATAACCTTATAGCAGCTATAATCAGTTAATTAACTAGCTATAAATATAATCTATTTAATTAAATAAGAATATATATAAAACTTAAAACCTCCTTTTTATAGCTATTATAGAAGGTTATTAGATTTTAGTATAATTAGTAGTCTGTATTTTAAACTTATTAATAGCTATAATATTATTTATTTTTCCCCTAATATAAATAGAGATCTTAGTAGGGAGATATATAACTAAACTCTAAGTAATCTAAATACTCCTTAACCTGTAGATTAAAGTAATTAAGTAAAAAGAGAATAGATATAATACCTTTTAACTATTATAAAAACCCTCTCCTAGTAGAGGATTTATATATAAAAGTCTTATAAGTAAGAACTATAGGATAGGAAGAATATAATAACTATAGGTATATATTTAACTCTAACTACTAACTAATATATTAGTTAAAAACCTTAGTTAAAACTTAAACTTCTCTTTAGTTTTAAGAGATTACTAGGAAATCTAATATTAATAAAAACTAATTATTTCTAAACTAGTTTAATCCTAAAGAGCTAAAGGATTTATTATATAAGTTATTTATTTAAAAGGAAATTAGATAAAAAGAATAGAGTTATTACTACCCTATCTCTCCTATTAGCTTAATTAAGGAATAAGGAAAAAAGGGAAATTAAATTAAGATTCCTAGAAAAGAGATTAATATAGATAAATATAGTACTATTCTTTAAATATAAATAACCTCTCTTTTTACTACTTATCTTATAATTATCCCAGCTTCTATAATAGAATTACTATAAGAACTAGTTTAACTATTTAATTAGATACTTTTAATAATATCTAAAAAACCCTAAAATAATCCAGCTAGTAGTAGCTATTAAGATAAATTATCTTAGAATAATCTTATATCAGTATTAATATATACTATTAAGAAAATTAACCCTTTTATCTATATACTTATAATAGACTAATAGTTTAATAGGTATAATATTACCTTATTCCTTAAGTAATATAATAATATAATAGAAGTAAGAGACTTATTAAAAAAGTATTATCTTAACTAGTTAGAGTTTAATATCTCTAAGGATAAATAGCTAAGGATTAAGTATTATATTAAAGATCTAAATTACTAAAATAAAGTTAAAACTTAACTTAAGAAAGAATATTAATATCTTAATTAAGATTAAAATATCTCTCTACTAAAAGAGATAGAATAAATTAATAAGATAAAACTAAAAGATAACCTCTATAAGATTAAAGATATTTTAATTAAATATTATTACTTCTAGAAGAAAGATTAAAAGCTTAACTAGAAGTTATCTATAAGCTAGTTAGAGAACTTTTATAAGTTAATACCTCTAGAGATATTTTATAAAATATAAAATAGGAATAATTTTACTATAAAGGAGCTTTATTCCCTTCTATATAAAACTCTATAGGAAATATTTATATAATTTATTAGAAATTAAATTAAAACCTTTAAAAACTATAAATAAATTAATAATAGGGATACTCTATATAAAGCTAGGTAGTAAGAGTAGTATATAACTTAGTTATAAGATCCCTTAATTAAATAAACTAAGATTATAAAGTAAGTATAAATCTTAGAACTATCTTCTTATTAGGAATAAGCTTTAGTAGTCTCTTAAGTTAGTTAAAAGAAAACTATAGAAGTCTTTATAAATAACCTAATAGTCTAAATAAATAACTTAGCTATCTCTATATAATAAATAAATAAAAGGATTAAAATCCTAACTCCTTTCTCTTTAAGAATAATAAAAGTTTATCTATATACCTAAATTCTAATAAAGTAGAACCCTTAAGATAGCTATATAAATATAATTAAGATATAGAATAAGCTAATTAATAATAGAAGATTTAATTAAATAGATCTAATAGAAATTAATACTCTAATAGCTTATAATTATAATAAAGTATACTAATATTATAGAGGCCCTAATTACTACCCTGATTAATATATAGATCTTAAGATTAATAAAGAAACTAGGTTTATCTACTATAAATATCTAGCTAATACCTTATATTTAGAACCTAAAAGAGAAGAAGTCCCTCTAATACTAGTTAATTACTATAAGTAAATATTAAGTATATAAAAACTTACTATTTACTATATAAGGTAATTCCCTTATTATAATCCTAACTTAACCTAGTATATAGTAAGGATATATAATACTAACCTATTAAAATAGATAATTATTCTAAAGAAGGAAAAAGCTATAGACTAAATTATAAAAAGAGTTAAAAATAATTAATCTCTTAAGATTCCTACCCCTAAGAATAATAAGTATCTTCCTAGCTATATAATAGCTATAATAAGGAAAGGTAGCTTTAAAAGACTAGGCTTAATAACTATATCTTATATTAGCCTAGTTAATCTAAGTATTAGAGTAATCTATAATAGATTAGAACTATTTAATTAAATAGGTTATATTTATATAGTTAAAATAAATTTAGTTAATCTAAAGTATAAAAAATAGGATAAAAAGAGCTCCTTATATATTATATATTATAACCCTAAAGGTATATTAATAAGATATAAGAAACTAATAGACTATAGCCTTTTATAAATACCTAAAATAGTAGCTAATTTATATAGAGAAATTATAAAGTAGGAACTTACTAGGAAATAGTTAGTTATAAAAACTATAGAGAGTAGTAAAATTACTATTAAGATTTTTAAAATTACCTAATTTAACCCTATCTTTAGAAAGCTCCTTATAGAAGAATACTTTAGTTAAGTATATAGATCTAAGTAAGTAGTTAAAAATACTCTATTAGCTAATAATACTCTATTATATTAACCTAGGAGATATAATACTAGAGCTAATATAGTTAAAATCTAAGATTCTAAGAGCTCTAAATAAATTATAAATAAGATTATATCAGTCTAAGGGCTATATAATAAAATTTATAGATATATAATTAAGAAAGATATAGGGAATTATTCTTCTAAGAGTAATAAAAAAGCTACTTTTCAGCCTATAACTCTATAACTATATAAATTAGATTATAGCTAATACCTAGAAATATTTAATTAAATAGATTTTAATAAGATAGAATATAAATTAATTAATATATAAAAAGATATATAGACTTAGAAGTAAATAGTTATAGATTTATAAGAAACTACTATAGGTAATCAGATATCTATTAATTATATACTTATAGACTATTTAGAAGAATAAATAGTTAAAAGCTATTAAGACCTCCCTTATATACCTATATAACTATAATAAATAGATAATTAGATTTATAATACTCTAGTTAATATAGAAGTATAAGTAAATATTATAACTCTTAAGATAGCCTAAGAGTATAGATTAATAATCTATTTAATACCTAATATAACTATAATCTTTTTCTTAAACTATATAATAAAGATAATAGGAAGGATATATATAAAGGTATTCCTTAGGAGTATACCCTTAGAATAAATTATTTATATAATAAAAGGAAGAAATATATCTTCTATTAAGTTTATCTTAGGGATACCCTTTATTAAATCTTACTAAATCTCCTTTAACTATAGAAATAGAGATAGTAACCTACTTATATAAACTATTATTAGTAGTACCTATATAATAACTACTATTATAAGAGGAGTTTATTATAGAAACCCTAATATACTAAAGGTAATTATAACCTTTTATATAAATAAGTAATTAAATATATATTCTATACTAATAAATAAAATATAACCTTAAGATATATAGAAGCCCTATAATCTATTTATTTATATTAGTAATTAGATTATATAGAATTATATTAACTATATCTATATAATAATAACTATAACTCTATATATAGAAGAGTAATTTAATATAAATCTAGTATTACTAAAAGAATTATAACCCTAAGAAATAGAAAAACTTAATAAACTATTTAATTAAGTAGATTCTAATTCTAAAGAATTATTATAAATATTTTATATCTCCTTAAAAGAAATAGATAGAATTATAAGTATAGAGATTAATAAGAAAGATATTATTATCTCTATCTCTAATAATAAGACTAAAGTTATCTTTTAGAAAGTCTTAAAAGCTTAGTTACCTACTTATAATAAATAATATAAATAAACTACTAAGTAAAGTAATTTTTATAAGAATAAAATAAAATACTTTAAAAAATACCTTAGTAGAGGTATAGATATACTAAATATTAGTATAAATATAATATATAAACTAAAATATAAGAAAATTAACTCTTTTAATAATATTCTATCTAATAGTTTAGTATCTAATAGTAATACTAATTAGTAAAAGAAGAAATAAACTAAAGCTCTATTAATACTTAATATATTATATCTTTTTTTTAAGTAGATTACTAATAAGTTCTTTAATATTAAGATAAGCTCTAGACTTATAAAGAAGTATTTAAATACTATTTTATTATAAGTAAAAAACTTCTTAATAGAAAAAGAGCTAGAAGTATTTATTTAAATACTTTATAACTAAGAAAAGATAATAATATAAACTTTTAAGGATTATAGCTATATTAATCTAATAATTATCCTATCTTAAGTTATCTGAGTTATTAAGTATAAAATATAGTAGATAGGTTTAATTCCTATTCTAAAAGGCTTAGAAAGTAAGATAATAGATATTCTAAGAGACTATATTAAGAAAGAAGTACTTAAAAAGTCTTATACTTCTTATAGGAACTCTTAGTTTCTTATAATTAAGAAGGATAGAAATATAAGATTTATTAACTTAGTAATTAGAATTAATTAATTTATAATTAGGGATACCCTTATTCCCCCTAGTATAGATAACTTCTTATAGAGCTTTATAATATATAAAATCTTATTACTTATTAACTTCTTCTCAGATTATAACTAAGTATCTCTTAATCTAATAAGTAGGAACTTAATTATATTCTTAATACCTATTAGATTATATAGAATATATATACTCCCTTAAGAAGTAATAAATTCAGTAGTCTAGTTTATATAAATTATTAATTAAATTCTTACTAACCTTATTCCTAATATAGCTAAACCTTTTCTTAATAATATTACTATTTAAGGGCTTTCTTTAATATATAATAATAAGGAGATTACTCTGGATATTTAATATTATATCTTAGAATACTTAACTAACTTAGATAAAATATTAGTTAATATTAAGCTTATAGGTTATATAATATCTACTATTAAATTAAAGTTCTACTAAATAGGTATAATTATAGTAGAATACTTCTATAGCTTATTTAGAAAATAATCTAAAGATATAAAAGTTATTAAAATAAAAGAATAGATAGCTTATTATAATATATCTAATATATAATCCTTTTTAGAAGCTACTAGGTTCTATAGGATATAGATAGAAAAGTATACTATTAAAGCTTAATCTCTTACTATCTTATTTTAAAAGAATACTATCTAGATCTAAGGAGAAGACTAGATAAATATAATAAAAGCTCTTAAGGAGAACTTAATTAAAGCAGACTTCTTTATTTTAATTAACTATTTAGATAAGAGTAGAAAGATTATTCTTATAGTTAATATAAGCTTTAAAAGCTAGAGAGTTATTCTTCTCTAAATTATTAAAAGGAAATAAAAACCAGTCTAATATAAATCTAACTACTAGAGTAAAACTAAAGTAGTTTATAATATAATTAAGAGAGAATACTAAGATATCCTCTTAGCTATTAGAAGGTTATATAACTATCTCTATAGAGCTAGATTTATATTAGAAACTAATATCTAAGTCTTAGTATTATAGCTTAATAGAAAGGCTAATAATATTCTAGGTATATTTATTATATATTAGATTAGTTATATTATACTATTTAACTTTACTATCTATTATATACTTAGAAAGAGAAATAGTATAACTAATAGGCTTTCTTATAAGGGTTAAGAACTATCTAATTAAATAGATAAAATAAATAAGGAAGATATTAAATAAGTTATTAACTTATAATTAAATATTATAATAGTTTTAGAAGAGGAAGCTAAAAACCTACTTAAGGAGTATTAGATTAAGGAAAGCTAAACCCTTACTAAATACCTTATTATCCTAAAGCAGCTATAGGGAATAAAAACTATAGAGTTCAGAAGATTAAAGCTCTAAGTAAAGTATTTCTTTATAACTAACTATAGGCTATAAAAAAGATCTAAAAGGGGATAAACTAACCCTATTACTATTATTAATAAATCTATAATAAGAAGAGCTCTAGTTACTTCTTATTATATAGAGTAGAGCTATAGAGAAAAAGAGATAATCTATAAATAGTTAAAGATATAATACTTCTAGCTAGGAATATAGAATAATTATTCTAAAGCTATTATAATCTATAAGATATATACTTCTTTTAATCTAAGGAAGCTAGTAGAGGAAAATATACTAATAGTACCTAACTAACCTATAATAAAAGTTTACTTTAATATAATATATATAAACCCCTTAAGAGGGATAAAGTTTATTATAGAAAGCTAATATAATCTTACTAGTTAGATTAAAGTCTATATAATAAAGAAGTATAATATAACTAACCTCTATCTCTTCTTTTAGAAATAAATATATAGATTTAGTATAATAATTATTATTATACTAAATAAAGGAGCTAAAGGTAAAGGAAAGATAAAAATAGCTCTTTCTAATACTAGGATTAGATATATTATTATTAGTATATATAATTCTTAAGCTAATAGAATTATTAAAGCTAGATACTAATTATTAATTCTTACTATTAGTAAGATATTATTTCTAAATATAGACTAGCTCTAAGTACTTAAAGTTATACTATTTACAGATAGAGTCTTAGAGAGAGCCTCTTATAGATATAATCTATTTTATCTCTTATATAGCTAGAACCTAATTCTACCTCTTAAGATAAGATATCTAACTTAGAGACTTATTAACTAGGAAAATATATAATCTACTTAGAACCTACTTAAAGCTAGAACTTAATATTTACTATAACTCTATAAGGATATTAAGATTATAAGAGAGAAAGTTCTAAAGTTTAAAAGATAATAAGCAGATATAAGAATAATAATCTTAATTAGAAGAATAAAAACTAAGCCTCTTTAACTAGAGAGCTTAATTCTA